TACCATATTAATGCCCTTTTCGTGATTGTTTCTCTAGATTTTTTTTACCAAAACTGACTCAATCTCTTGTTTGGTCAAATCATTACCTTTTATGACTGTTGTGAATGCAGTTATGTGATCTCGTGGGTCAGTTGTTCCATCATATTTTGGGATGTCAGGCATTTTGACCTTCTTAAGAATGGGTAGTGGGGCCGCGCTTGGCTTCTAAGGTTGTTGTGAATATTTATCGATATCCACTCCCTTAATCACAGGTGGTACACCAGGTATTTGTTCGATGCGTTCGTTTTGCTCTTTCATATATTTCTGCAAAGTTAGTACTAAATTTTGTAAATCAGAGTTATTTGGTGTACCTGACCTCCCATCACGTGATTCATCGAGAGTTCTCCCGCTTCCTGAATTGGCAAACCCCGAGCGTGGATTTTCTATGATTGCAGTATTATTTGGGGGAGGAGTTGGTGGTGCAGTTGGCAATCCCCTAACAAAAGCTTGTAGAGCATTGTTGACATGTTCAACAATCAATTGTTTTAAAGCATCTTGCTCGACAATCTACTCGTCTCCATGTTGTTCATTTGTGTGAGATGTGGATCTTTCAAGTGTTCCTTCTCGAGTATGACGTGGAGATTCCTGCGGTGAAGGAATTGGAGATCTTCCCTCCTGTTGGATATTTTCGTTGACAGTTGACATGATTTGGTTGTGAGAAAGAAAGATTTAGAAAGTAAAAAGATTATCAGATTCCCGTTAACTGAACCAATTTGTTTAACCAAAAAATAAGATTTTTAATCAAAGCCTATTTTTAGAAGAACTCGGGTTAGTTATAATCAAATAATTTCTTACTTCCTCAGTAATTCACTTATAAGGAAATAAAATTGACAAAAAGTAAAGAAAGAATAATTGATTACATTTAATAAGCAAGAGAAAGTAAATATATTTCGATAGTACTCAGAACTTGTCCTTACAAATGAGATCCTCCCCCCTTATATAGGAGTTTACAAATATAATGTTTCCTCCTATTTATGGCGGAATTATTATGAGCTTTAATGGTATTAATTGTCTGTTATGATGGGTAATCGTAACTGTCTATGAGGATTTTGTAACGATTCTGATTCCCCTTCCTCATTAATTGTAGGTTCGTGAATCTTCCCTCTTTTCAGTCTTGATTTATTCCGCTCATGCCTCTTCAGCAGCTGTTTAATTTCGAACATTGGTTCTCCATTATCCCGTGGGTGTTTGTCTCCTACTTCTTGTGCTTTATATATCTTTTAAATGAAATATGCCAGTTGTCATTTCCTCATTGTTCCACGTATCATGTTGTGTCAGCTAAATACAATTCCACGTGTATCATTTATTTACCACCAATACAGACATATCCAGCGTCTGCGCCCAATATTCCTATTTGACCAACATGCCTTCAAAATCGCACATTTGCCACAATAGCACCTTGGTGCGTCATTGCGTCCAGACATGTGTTAATGCATGAAAAATGGAAAAATTATGGAAAGTTTTGCTATTTGTTTTGGTTAAGCGCAGATAATAACTAAAATGTGCTAATTATTTATAGGCAAGACAACACACATAATGTAGTATTTCACCGCATTATGCTTCGCGTGTTAAAGATTCTTTCGGGTACAATACAACCTTTCCAGAAGATAGCTTTTGTAGGCGAGCAGCTTTTTAGGCCGACAAGACAATTATTTTTTTTAAAATAGGTTTATGTTAGATTGTTGTACTGAAGTATTAATGCTAAATATCAATAAGATTTAACAAAAATGGAAACATAATTTTATTTCATACATTCTGCAAGATAAACAAGTACATACACTTATTACAACCACATTACGGAAACAAAACACTACGTGTATCCTTGATAATTGGGCACATTATATGAACTTCCACCAGGAGCTGGATTACCACCGCCACCCAAACCAGCTGAAGGACATTTATGACGGTCGTATCCTGTTTGCGAGCATATGCCACATTTGCGCGCATAAACGGTATCACCAACATCCATTTGGTTCCGTATACGTGTTCTTTTTTGCACTTGTTGTTGATGTACATACTCCTTGTTACAAACCATTTTAAATGATTCCGGCGGTCAATAATGCTCAGCACCCACTTGCTGCAACTGCCCACTATAAGTGTTTAAGTATGCAACAACACTATATTCTTTATCAACATAGTTGGTTGCCACTAAACCTATATATTGAAAGCACTTGATGGCATGTGAGCACGGCATGTGGTAGATGGACCATTTCCCACAAGAGCATAACCTTCTGGCTTCATTTTGTGTGTATTATTCCCCCGGTTTTGATGGATAGCGGTGCGAACTTCAAAAATATTTCACTCATTGCAATACTGTAAATATAAATGCCAATGTGCTCGCCGCCTATATTTCTCAAATCTTTTCATTGGTATTTACATAAATTCAACACCTCTTTCCATCAATGACGATGCACCTCTAGCCCTTTCAACAAACCTCTCCGCCATCTACTTGAATGACATCCGCACCATGGCAGTGACAAGCAATCCATGTGCAGACTTCAATAACCCATTGAAAGACTCTTGCACATTTATAGTAAGAATTCCCCATCTTCTGCCACCATCCGCATGCAAAGTCCACTTGTCAAGCTCATGTCTCATCAACCAACGATAGGCTCCCTCGTCTTCCTGCCTGATAGATTCCATGCGCCTCCTGAATTTACACTCTTGGTGATTTGTTGCAGCCATCCACATTAAATCATGCAAATCCTTGTTGGGATATGCCTTCTGGAAATTGGCCTTCAGGTGCCTCACACAGTAACGGTGGCAGGCATACGGTTCCTGCCATGCACAAAAATTCTGTATAGAACTTAAAATACCACCATGCCGATCAGATATTAGACAAATACCTGAACGCTGTTTGATAACGTGCTCTTTTAAATGGTTCAAAAATAGTGTCCACGTCTCTTGGCTTTCATTGGCACAAAAAGCAAAAGCTAAGGGAAATATACTTCCATTAGCATCTACTGCAACGGCGATCAACAACTTTGTTTACCCTAAAATATGAGTAACAATTAAACTTATAAAGAGGTCTTAAAGATATGCGATTTAGTCCAATACTGATTGACAAACAAGAAGATAAGTGCGTGAGTTAAGTAAGAAGATTAAATCAAACCAGTGTATAAGCAAGCCTCGACCTCGAGCCAAGATAACCTCGAGATAGACTCCGATGAACAGTAAAATAAAGGAAAGAGAATATAATAAAGCTAAAGAACAATTTTGATGAGAGATGAGCGCAAAAGTAAGAGTGTATATTCTTTGCTAATGATTGATGATCTGAATAGGCTCCCCTTTATATAATAAGGGAGGGGTCCTAAATAAGGTACATTTCCATTTCTAGAAAGGAATCTAATTTGTACAGCTGTCTAACGAATTTGTACGAATTCGTACAAATTCGTTCCGGAATTTACGCCTTGATTTTTGTGTCATTGCAGGATTCCCGCCCATTCTGGTACAAGCCATAATGGCATTATTTCGAGGTGGGTCATACTCGGCCTCCGGTATTGTGTGCTTTGGTCCTCGAGGTCTGCATTCCTTCATAAGTCTTGAGCCCGATCTACCGAACTGTCTCGATTCATTTGAACTTGGGCTCGGGGTGACTTCTCGAACCTATAAAATCGGGCTTACCTGATTTTGACCGTATACAGATAGTCCCCGCGTTTCTTAGAATAAAATGATAAGAAATGGTTTGAATCTCGAATTTCTAAAATCCCCGATGGTGACATCATCCACATGACGTAAACGTTGAAGTGACCGAAACGTCCCGTCGGTTCGCTTCCCCAAAACATTAAATGTGCGTCAGTGCTGGTCAGCCACCGAACGGTCGCTGATTCTCTATAAATACTTGGTTATTTGCCTCATTAGGGACTTTTACTTCCATTTGCAATCCCTCTGGGTTCTTCTTCTTACTATCTCTTTCTCCTTTGCCACCAGTTTCTCCGCCCTTTAAACGCTAAAAGTCGTCAGATCTCATTTCCTTCCACTTATCCCAATCTGAATCAATGGCTAAAACCTCCAAAACCGTTCCTCAAAAGGAGGGAACTTCCTCTTCTTCTTCCCGTCTGGCCGGCGGCAAGGCGCCGACCCTTCACGAGATCGTTCCCGGGGGCTGTACCCTAAAGAAAGACTTCATGATCGAAAATCCTCCCGATGTCCCTGGCCGATGCGAGCACGCTTCGAGGTACATATGTTCGATAACAAAAAAATACCTCGATGCCGTGAGAAAGGAATGTTCTGGGGGGATGGGGTCGTGATACAGATCCCCACTTGTGAAGAGGACATTACTACCCACGTGGAGGGGTTCTTAAGTGTGTACACTTACCCCTTCACGTTGGGTCTTCTCGATCCAATTGTGATCAAATTTTGCAAAAGGTACCAGGTTACCCTGGGTCAAATCCACCCGTCTTTTTGGCGGATAGTGATAATGCTTCGATTTTTTATCAGTAAGGCCGAGGGGCTCGAGTTCACCCTTAGCCATCTCATCCATTTATACCGGCCTCAACTCTTCCGAGGGTTGATTAAACTTCAACGCCGATCGACCAAATATTTCTTTGCCAGCAACGACGAAGATAGAGATCGAGGTTGGATGAGCCGGTTCATCCGAGTGAGGACTATCGATGTCATCCCCGATGAGCAAACGCCATTCCTCAAGAAGTGGAACTTCAACCGTGAGTGGAGCCTCTTTCCTCAATAATTTTTCTGTAATTTTGCTACACTTTTCATAATATTCTTTCCTTTATTTGCAGCGGTCCCTTGGATGCCCCATGCGATCCTCGATCTCGAGGATTGGGTTCGTAAGCTAGTCGCCACCTCGTCATATGACAAACGCAAGTGGCGTGACTTGTCGAAGGGCAAGTGGGAAACCAAACACCATGGTAAGATCTCCGATACTTTCTCCTTTATCGGGGATGCTTCTTTTCTAACACTTAGCTTTTATTTATGCAGGCATTGGAGATTTCTCCTAAATGAGGCCGGCCCCTCCTGAGGAGAAGATTGAATCTCTGATCTCGAAACCGAAGAAAGATAATAAGAGGAAAAGGTCTTCGAAGCTCGAAGATCCTCAAAACAAAGCGGGCCCTGCTCGGAGGCGCAGGAAGAACGTCATCATCAATGTGGACATAGACTCAGTCCACCAGTTCATGGATGACGAAAATGACGAGGTCGAGGATTCGACTCTGGTGACTCAAACCAAAAAATCAACCAAGACTGCCAAACCTACCAAAACCGAGGTCCTTAATCATGATGAAGGAACCTCGAAGGAAAATAAGGAAGAAGACCCCGAGTCGCCTGACATCGTGGTTGTTCCTCAACCTTCTGCAAGTACGCCGAAAGGGGGTAAGTTCCAAAGCTCTTATGATCGAGCAGAGCACCTCGGGGGATATCTCTGATGCCATGACAATAGGTCACTCCCCGTCGTTCCCGGCTTACTCTGAGGACACCATTAGAGACGCTCGGGCCCTAAAGGCGCCTGAGTTAAGCGGAGCCCCTAGTGAGGACGATCCTTTCTAGGATTGTTTCACTAGGGTTGATGATGCCGATCTTGATGATACATCCTCGACCTTCGAAGGGGCCCAACGTCTCTTCTCTAAGGTAAGCCTTAATTTTTAAAGTTGCAATTTCCTTAACGTTGAAATTTCCTTCCTTGCTTTGACTGATCATTCCTTTTATTTGTAGGATTTTACCAAGTTTAAGGCCGAGCTGAGACAATGTGAGGCCGAGCTAAATAGATCCTTGGGTGAATGGAAGGCCTTGAGGCTCCTTTGTGATCAAAAGGAGGAGGAGCTTAAAGACCTTCGGGAAGAGTTGACCAGGGCTCAAGAATATGAGGACGAGCTGGAGAAGCAGGTAACTAACGTTTTGAAAGAATATGGGCTTCCCCTCCCAACTATGAAAGCTAATACTTCGATGTCTCAGCTGCAGCAGAAGGTGGAGATGTTGGAGCAGCTTCGAGGTGAGGTTGGTCGGGTTAATGCCGAGTGCAACCAATGGAAAGAAAAGATGGACCTTCTTGCTGCGGGGAAGGAAGCTGCACAAACCAAACTAGCAGCAGCAGAGGCTCAGCTAAGAAGTGTAAGAGAGAGAAGTTCGGCCCAGGCCAAAAAGATTGCCGAGCTCGAAGCTAAACTTGCTAAAGACGAAGCCGAAGTTGCTGAAGCAAGGGTCGAGGCCAAGAAGACTCAGATTACGGCTGATAAAACTGTTGTCGTATATTTGAGGGACACCGAAGCTGCTCAAATGGAGCTGAGAGAAGCTGTTGATCAGGAAAAGTGAAGCAACGACTATGCCAGGTGCCGATCTCGGAGGGAGACTCTAGAGGAGATTCACGCTAGGGGCTTTGATCTCACTGAGGAGATAGCCCAAGCTAAGGCGGATGAAGCCGATGCCAGATTCCTTATCTCCTTGGATGATGATGATGATGTCAAAGGCGGCCAAGGTGGGTCCGGAAATGAAGAAGGTTCCGAAGAAGAGACCACTCCCGATGGAGAGGCTGCCCCCGAGGAAGAAGCAGTTCCAGGAGGAGAAGCTGCCCCCGAAGGTGGGAATACTCCCTCGGTGTAGATAGGAACTTCCTCTTTGTATTTTCTTTTTTGTTGAACTCTCGTACGTGCCACCTTTTGAATGTATATAAAAGAAGTTTCCTTGAATGCTTTCTCAATCTTTCTTGCTTTATAATTTTTGTAATAATTTCGTTCTTCGAATGGTGTATTCGAGATCCCTCCTTAAATGGTTTCTTTTAAGTTGTCGCGACCAGGTTCGAACCTTCGAGGTATGTATCCTTAGTGTCGAATGGTGACAGGTCTTCAAGCAATAAAAATATTTGTTTGAGCTCGGGGTAATCGAACCCTTAGGTGAGAACAAAAGTCTCGAACTCTTAGGTGAGAACAAAAGTCTCTAACCCTTAGTATATTGGCCCTTAGGCTCTTTTATATCGGCCCTTAGGCTCTTTTAGGTTGGCCTATGGGCTCTTTAAGTCGGGCCAGTTTGGCCTCTAAAAGTGGCTATGATTTTTCCCTTTTCGGCTAAAAGACTTGGTGAAAATTTCTTATGCCTTAGCGTATATATATTTTATACCCGTTGGGTTTTTCGAGGTTCGACGATCGGAACCCAGATTTTCTTAGCTTGTTGGTGTTATCATCTCGAAGGCTGATGTTATCGAAGCCTTTGAATTATTTGGAGGCTCACTTTATCGAAGCCCCTTTGCTTTGCCGAGGGTAGCCTTATTTAACCGGTTTCTCAAAGTATTTGAAGGCCTTTAGTTTATGGCGGAAGTCAGACATCTCCGAGCCGCATTATTTCGGCTGTAGCCTTGTCATATGACCATAGTCTTTAATATGGTCGTAGCTTTCGGGCATGTCTATTGGACTTGTTTCCCGATAACATTTCGAACTTGTTCGAAATGTCAATCCCCGAGTGTGATGGCCTTGGCCTATACGTCGAGGGATGCCTCTTTGAGGTCTTATGAATTCACGTTTATATGGCTCGAATGTGTTGACTGTCGATGACAGTCCCCGAGTATGGAGCTTGTTTTTGGCTCTTGAGCCTTTTCTCATATAGAATCATAAGTATGGAGCTCGTATAGTAGCAAATTTCTTCAAGACACAAAGTATTTAACATAGAAAGGATGCTTCTTTACATAACTCATGCGTGCGTACATGTTTCGCCGTCGGGGCTCGGTTATTCTATATGGACATGGTTCCTTTGACCGTTTGGCCCATTACAAAGTTTTCCTATCGAGACCCTCTTAGGCGTGAAGTATTTTCCTCGAAATGCTAGTCCCCGAGGGTGATTCCCCCCCAGTATTCGAGGTGTACTGAAAAGAAGCTTTGGATACTATTGAATTCCCCTTAGGTAGCACATAGTTGTTGCCTCGTTAAAAATCTTGCCGGAAAAACTCATTTGGGATAAAACCCGATCTAAGGAAAAAAGAGTGCAACGCATGCTTTAAAACCTAAGGTCTTCGCGTTGATGGGTGCCTCGATGTCTTTGATCGAACACCTGAAATGAGTTAGTCTCGAATACGAACGGAAAAAAGGAGGAAATCATACCTTAGTAATAGTATCGTTTGAGCAGTGAAACATTCCAATTGTTTGGCAATTGTTCGCCTTCCATCGTGCTGAGTTTGTAAGATCCTTTTCCGATGACTCTGATGACTCGATATGGCCCTTCCCAGTTTGGGCCTAGTTTCCCTTCATTCGGGTCTCAAGTATTGAGGGTGATTTTTCTTAGAACTAAGTCTCCGACTCCGAAGTGACGAAGGTTGGCCCTTCTGTTGTAATACCTCTCGATCCTTTGTTTTTGTGCGGCATTTCGGACAAGTGCAGCTTCTCACTTTTCATCCAATAGTTCGAGGCTAGTGTTCATAGCCTCGTGATTTGATTCTTCGATTGCATGTTGAAACCTGACGCTAGGTTCTCCGACCTCGATTGGAATTAATGATTCGGAACCATACACCAAAGAGAACGGAGTCGCTCCCGTGCTGGACTTTGATGTCGTTCGATATGCCCATAGTACCTCGGGCAAAACCTCTCTCCATTTCCCCTTAGCGTCACTCAACCTTTTCTTCAAGTTCTGAATAATAAATTTGTTTGTGGACTCGGCCTGGCCATTTGCGCTTGGGTGATATGGCATTGATAAGATCCTCTTTATTTTGTGATCTTCAAGGAACTTTGTTACCTTGCTGCCGATGAATTGCTTCCCGTTGTCGCATACAATTTCAGCGGGTATACCGAACCGACACACGATGTGATCCCATATGAAGTCTATGACTTCTTTTTCTCTTACTTTCTCGAAGGCTTGTGCTTCCACCCATTTGGAAAAGTAGTCAGTCATAAACAAAAAGAATTTAGCTTTACCTGGTGCTGTTGGCAGGGGGCCGACGATGTCCATCACCCATTTCATGAATGGCCAAGGGGATAGGACTGAATGGAGTTGTTCACCGGGCTGATGAATCATCGGTGCAAACCTTTGGCATTTGTCGCACTTTCGAACGAACTCCTTAGTATCTCTCTACATGCTATCCTAGTAATACCCAGCTCTACTTATTTATGAATCAAAGAGTCGGCGCCGGAGTGGTTCCCACAAGTGCCTTCGTGGATTTCTCGTAAAACATAATCGGTGTCCCCCGGTCCTAAGCATACTGCCAATGATCCATCGAAGGTCCTCCTGTACAACGTTCCATTTTCATCTAGTGTGAATCGACCAGCTTTGGCTCGTAGGGCTCTCGACTCTTTAGGGTCTGAAGGCAGCTTTCCGTGCTTCAAATACTCGACGTATTTATTCCTCCAATCCCACGTCAAACTTGTAGAGTTTATCTCAGCATGACCTTCCTCGACTACGGATCTCGACAACTGGACGACAGTCCCCGGGACAATATCGTCTTCCTCGACCGATGACCCCAAATTCGCAAGTGTGTCGGCCTTACTATTTTGCTCCCGAGGTTTATGGTCCAACGTCCACTCCTTGAAGCGGTGCAATGTTACTTGTAACTTGTCCAAATATCTTTGCATTCTATCTTCTCGAACTTCGAAGCTTTTGTTTACTTGGTTTATCACCAGCAGAGAGTCATATTTGGCCTCGATGACCTCTGCTCCCAGGCTTTTGGCTAATTCGAGACCTGCAATCATGGCCTCGTACTCGGCCTTATTGTTAGTTAATCTAGAAGTTTTGATAGATTATCTAATGACACTTCCCGTAGGTGGTTTTAAAACAATACCGAGCCCGGACCCTTTCACATTTGAGGCACCGTCTGTGAAGAGGGTCCATACCCCCGATGATGTACCCGTCTTTAGTAGAAGTTCCTTTTCTACTTCGGGTACGAGGGTAGGTGTAAAATCTACCACGAAGTTTACCAAAATTTGAGACTTGATAGCAGTTCGGGGTTGATATTCTATATCGTACCCCCTAAGTTCGATGGCCTATTTGGCCAATCGGCCCAATAGCTCGGGCCTATGCAAAACATTTCGAAGTGGGTACGTGGTTAACACAGATATGGGATGACATTGGAAATATGGCTTCAACTTTCTAGATGCACTTATTAATGCAAGTGCTAACTTCTCTAAATGTGGATACCAGGTTTCAGCATCTCCTAAGGTTCAACTTACATAATAAACAGGAAATTATGTACCTTGTTCTTCTCGAACCAGCATGCCACTTACCACTACCTCGGATACAGCCAATTACAAGTAAAGTTTTTCGTCCGCCTTCGGAGTGTGAAGCAGAGGTGGGCTCGATAGGTACCGCTTTAACTCATCCAATTCTTGCTGACATTTCGGAGTCCATGCGAAATCATTCTTCTTTTTGAGTAGGGAGAAGAACTTGTGACTCCGATCCGATGACCTCGAGATAAATCGGCCTAAAGCGGCTATCCGTCCGGTTAGTCGTTGTACAGCTTTTACACTGCCCACGACGGTGATCTCTTCGATGGCTTTAATTTTGTCGGGGTTGATCTCGATCCCCCTATTTGACACCATGAAACCCAGGAACTTGGCCGAGCCAACTCCGAAAGCGCATTTCTCGGGGTTGAGTTTCTTGTTGTATTTTCTCAAAATCTCGAACGTTGCCTGCAAATGAGTCAGATGGTCCTCTGTGCACAGGGACTTAACTAGCATGTCATCAATGTAAACTTCCATAGATTTGCCTATCTGTTGTTCGAACATCTTATTAACTAGGCGTTGGTATGTAGCTCCTGCGTTTTTTAGCCCGAAGGGCATTACATTGTAACAATATGTTCCATACTTAGTGATAAATGAAGTCTTTTCCTGGTCCTCCGGGTTCATTTGAATTTTATTGTACCCGGAGTAGGCATCGAGAAAAGTAAGTATCTCGTGGCCGGCCGTGGCGTCGATCATACGATCGATGTTGGGCAGTGGAAAAGAGTCTTTAAGGCATGCCTTGTTCAAATCTTTGTAATCTACACACATTCTAAGTTTGTTTCCTTTTTTAGGGACTACGACCACATTGGCTAACCACTCGGGATATTTTACTTCCCTAATGGACCCTATTTTGAGAAGTTTAGTTACCTCGTCCTTTACGAATGCATGCTTCACCTCGGACTGGGGCCTTCTCTTTTGCTTCACCGGTTTGAACCTGGGGTCGAGACTCAGCCAATGGGTGGTTATCTCCAGTGGGATCCCTGTCATATCTAAGTGGGACCAAGCAAAACAATCTATGTTATTGATAATTAATTGAATGAGTTTTTTCCTTAGCTCGGGGGTTAATCTCGTTCCCAGGTATACCTTCCGTTCTGGTAGATGCTCGATCAATATCACCTGTTCTAGTTCCTCGACCGTGGACTTCGTTGCATCTTATTCCTCGGGAGCGACGAAAGCTCGAGGGGTAAGGAAATCCTCTTCTTCGTCCTCGGCTACCTGTTCTTCGGATTCGATCGAGGTTGTGGACTGTGATTGCTATTTAGCCATCTGCTTGTCTTTGATGTTCGATTTCTCCGAGGTCGAGGGTGCTGGTACTGGTGTCAAATCATGAACTACAAACATCTCCTTTGCTATGTGTTGCTCTCCGTATACCGTCTTTACACCATCTTTTGTCGAAAAATTCATCAT